AAATGGGCTGCAGGTGGCGTAGAGCAGAACTCTTTTCCTATGGCAACACTTCACATGCTTTCCCCATTAGCGTGTGGAAAGTCATAGAGGAAGGAAGTACGTTAGTTTCTCTCTTGATTTTCATATAGATTAAAATCTTTTAACTTGAAAAACTATATGGAACTGAAAACTACATTAAATATAGTTCTAAAGAAAAGTATCACGGAAATTTTTAAAAATATTTTTATTAAGTAAAAAGGAGAAATATCGTAGTACATTCCTATATAACTGAAAAGAGGAGGAGAGGGAAGGGAGAAGGGCTAAAGGCATGAAACCGGTCTCTCCCCAGATGGCGTATTCGAGTGTTGCGATCGCGAATATCAAAAGTACGCTTTCTCCATAAATATCCTTGTTGCATAAATATTTTGTCATTCTGCGCTGGGCAAAATGAAAAAAAATATATATTTAGGAGCGTAATAAAAAGCTCCAAAAAAAACGCAGAAGATTATGGTGTTGACGCAAACTTCTGCATGGTATAGATGTTTGACCGTGTAAAGCTAAATGCAGATGGCGCTAGGAGTTAAAATTCGTTGTAAGACTTCCGGGTTACTACTTCCGACTGATTTTTAATTCTAAGCTTGAAAAAACGTACCACCCAATATTATTATACTTGTAGTGTTTTCAATATGAAGCGTTCTTTCCATCTAACTTCCAACGAAACAAACTACAAATGAATTCGGAAGACTACGCAAGCTTGCTATGATGCTACACAAAAAAAAATAACAAAGGGCGCAATGAGCCAAATAAGGAATAGTTCTCAAAACATTGCAAACCTTACACTTCATATATATATTGTGATACTAATTTTGTTAAATTTATTTTACGATCACGATCAGCTAGAATTTATAAGTTACAGAAAACTCTTACGAATTTGAATACAAATTACAATAATAAAACCTCCTGGAGCCTGTTCACACATCGCCTCGTAAGCATAACATAAGCGGAGGGATACACTGGAAGTTTTCTAAATTTCTTCCGGTTTTAGGAATTGTTTACATTCAGTCTACCATCCATACGGTCTACAGCTGATTTTCTTTAGACAGAGCATGATAAAAACCTGTCAGGGAAGTAAAAAGGTTAAAATGGAAATACCTGCTAGCGTGAAAAGATTATGGTTAACATTTCTGAGAGTCTCTGTCCATTCACTGTAGCTGGTGACGATGACGAACAATAGCCTCTGGGCATGGAATGGTGCCCAGCACAAGAAGAAACCAGCCACCACAGCAACTGAAACACAACATCAATTAATGAGAAACTCGTACCATCTTCTAATTGTTTAATTTTTACCTAACTAATTACTTACTAAAGAAACAAAAGTTTTAAAAACATGATTTTTGGCGACTTGGGAAGTTTTTAATCCAATTTAAATGAAATATTACAATTGTGAGGAGTAATAAGCAAGGTGAATACGCGTGCACAAATGAAACGCCCAGAAACTATATCTTCAGTCCACTTACAACAAAATAAACATATTTAAAAATAAAATCAGAAAAATTCTACCAAAAGGATGATCCGGCAACTTTGAAATTGAATCGCTCTTCTTTTCTTTAATATAATTAAATGATATAAGAAATATCTTTGATATAACTCTTTAAGAAAGAGTATTGCATTCTTTCATACAGATGATATATTTTAGAAAAAGTGAGTTCATGGAAATTTGGAGTAAACAAATTCTTTCAAAATATTAAAAGACAAACAAATTACGCAATAGGGAAGTAATCCTGACATAATTTGCTTGCAGTTTAAATATTTTGAAAATCTTTTTTAGTATTTTATTTAATGACCGTCATTAAAGAGCAGACCCAATTTTATGGTTTTACGACTACTATTGTTCAACTCCGTAGCCTTGTCATTTTGAACCCAACCGAGAAGACGAGGAAACTCCTGGATCGAGTATTGGGTGAAATTTGTTTTCGTGGAGGACTTTTTGATGGAACTAACCTGCATTTGCGTTACACGGACCACGAGAATCTACCACGGTTAGCCTGACGGCAAAGGGACTCTAACCCATGATCCGTCTACCACTGAGAATATTTAACGTCAGCACTGAGGTCTGTGCAAGCCAGATGCGGAATTCGTATTGACCAGCCATCACCGGGATCGAACGCCGGTTCACCTCATTGGAAGGCGAACGCTCGATCCCCTGAGTCATCGCGGCTATTCATTGGATATTTATATATTTAGTCTATATTTTAATATCTGTTGAGAATAGATTAATAGAAACAGTGGTCGGTTAAATGTACACGGGCACTTGACCTTAACAAAACATTGATATAGGGAATACGGTAACTAAACCTAGTATATATTTTTGACATTTATCAAATCGAGTATGTGATTGTCAACATTCACCGGTGGAAGTCAGCAACCACCTATTTCTGTCATTCACAGTAACATATATATTAAATGCATTTCGCTTCATCATTCTTTTAAAAACAATGAGTTATTTTTATTGTGGAATTAACTTTTTACAGCCGTATGACTTTTTAGAAAGAAAATATTATTTTATCCTGATAAAAAAAAGACAAAAAAACATGGAAAATATTGTCAATGGAGGGCATTATAAAAATGAAGAGAAAACAAAATAACAAAATGTGATAAAAAAGAAGAAAAAAAATAGTGCGTGGAGTCCCTCCGCGCGGAAGAAGTTAAACTTCGTAACCTGCGACGTTAATTGTAGAAGAATCAGCAGTCGTAGAAGGATGACTAGTTCTATTCAACGACTCTTTATCCTGCTCCGCTCGCTTCCGTGCTCTGTAATCACGGTAATATTGTGCATTTTTCCCTCGTGGACCTCTTGAACCAGTGGAAGTGCTTGTGGTTGCCTCATCGTCTCGCCCTGGAAAATGTATTTGTATTAATAATGTATGTGAATGCGTCATAATGTAATTTCAGAAGAGAAAACCTAATAATCAATTGATATTCACAAGAGACGTACCTTGACATAACCTTAAATCCGTCGCATTGTCCGTGGGATTGTTTTCACTCATTTTTTACAATTGTTATCCACTAAATTTGAAAATAAAAAATACTACCCTATTAAATTATATGTGTATCAAAACAAACTAAAAAAATATTTATAGAAAAACAATACTTTTATGACTTTTATTATTTTTATGCTAGTGAGAACCAAAACAATATGGAAATGAATGAGGGAAAACTGGATCCTACCACGTGATTTCCCGGCCAATAAAAATGTAGCGTTAAACGTTTAACGCAACCTTGTTGGAAGTCGCATAAGAAGTATAACTTCAAAAATTGTAAAAAGTGGCTATTAAATGAAAAGGACCAGTCGATATGAAGAAAGAGTAGCTACTAAGTTAATGCCATCTATCGGCCAATTGGTACTAAGTGAAAATTTAAATTTTCAGGTCTACCAATGGATGGGAAACAGAATTTGTCATGAAGAATTTCGACCGTGGTATTGCGTCCTTTTTTTTCTCTCTTTTTTTTTAAAGCCAATAGCTATTAATTGACTCAGTCATAGTTTTATTTGTCTAAAATTCATGAAATAAATTTAAGTGAGAGCGGTGTATTTTTCTGCGAGTAAGATATTTAAATAGAATAATAAATAAGAAAATTTAACATTTTAAGCAGCACCTCAGTCACATCAGAACGATTCCTCATTTTATCAAATGAGTTAAATTTATACTAATTAGCGGAACTAAATAAAAAAATCTGCAAACTTCAGTGTTTTCTAGAAAGTGAGTTAAGTTTGTTAAGCCTTTACTGGTATATCAAGCAACGTCTAAGTCTCATTTAATTAAATGTCATTCTTTGTTATGAGAAATTATTGTGCTTTATTTTAATAAAATGACATTTAATTTTTTGTTTTTAATAACTAGGCAGGCTTTGGTAGTTGACATTTTTGATTTCGTTGATTTTTTCCGGATATGTTCTGTATGTAAAACTAATAAGCTATTATTATTTTTATGTACTTATATTTGCAATAAAAAACAACAACTTTGGAAAGGAGTCAAAACTTAGGTCATCTGTGGATATTTTAAGAAAAGCACAGATGTCGAAACTTTTTTGCCAATCGCGGCATTTTGTGTTTTATTACTTCCGTATATTATTTTGAAATTCTCTTTTTTAATTTTTCTTTCGTAGATTATGATATTAATACGTCAATGAATTTAGGCAATATGGAGCAGTTTTTAATTATGAGTAAGTCACTGTTATGTTTGAAAGTTAAGGTGAACTTAGACAAAATAACTGAGTTCGTTTTACTTATCTTCTTATAAACCTTCTTATTTAGAGGAATAAAGACTCATTTTTCTGAAAAAATATTTTTTGATCGTTTTAATCTTTCTACTTTTAAAAATTGTTTTAATTAATGATGTAACTAAGCTTAAGCACTGTGTTTGGTTGTAAGAAAAAAGTTACTCCAGAAATATTTTGTGCTATTTTCTAAAATACATTAAAAGCAGTGTTTCTTGAATCCAATATTCAGATTTTTATTTTATGGCATTTTTAGTTATTTTATAAAATTCTTTTCAGTGCGAAAAAAAGAAGAAAAAAAAACGAATCACCCTGACGAATAACTCTTGATCGAATGACTTTGACGTACAAGAACAATCTTAATGATTCGAGGAGTAACCTCAAATATGTTAATAAGTTGGTGCATACGATATTTTAAGTTAAGAAACAAAAACGTACTTTCTTTGAATAAACACCTTTTTTTTCGACGGATTTGATCGGGGTTAGCCGCAATCTGGGAAATATAAGTTAGGTTAGGAGAGCGACCGAAAGTTTGGAACCCTTAATGTTAATTTTAATTTTCACGTATTTCACCAAGTGAATTGAAAATAAAGTTCGTGTTCATTAGCAGTCTTCATATTTGTTGGAACCTATCAAGTTATTATAGTACTTGATTACGCTATTCTATGGTTCAATTTACCCAAGTCAAAATTCTTGATGGTGCCATCAAAGCATTTTGATGGTTTATATGTTGGTTTCAGTGTAATTCATGATGATCCAACATCATTTGATGGTTACCATTATCCAACATTTTCCGTTATACATTCAAAGTTTTGATTTACCAACAAACTTCCATCATTCCATGGTAGAAAATGCTACTTTAATACTATGATGGTTAACCATCAAGAGAAGTTTGATTCTCATGGACCAACAATCCATGATGGTTCCAACATTACATTTCCATGATGGTTTAATTGAAATTATTGTTGGTTCAGCAGAGGAATATACCATCAAAACAATATTTTTTTAATGTTGGCCCATCAGAAATCAATCCGAAGACCGAATTCCTATATTGGGGTGATGGTGGTTCATGATCTTTCCAGCATTTGATTTCTAAGAAACTATGATGGAAATGTCTGATAATTCAACATGAACAAACCATCAAAACAAGTTGCTATTCTTATGTTGGACCATCATAAATACAGTCCGAATTCCTACATTGGGGTGATGATTACTTATGTTGGTTATCATAGAAAATGTAATGGTTCATGATGAAATCATTAATGGTTACCATCAAGATTATGCTGGTCCATTAATTATCAAAAATGCTGACTTGGGGGTAATTAAGGTTATATTACCGAGCATTCTGATGACGACCCTTCTCGATTGTGCCTTCGATCTTTCCCTTTCGAGTCTACACTGAGCACTTTCAGAGGTTGACCTGTGCATGCGGTGAGAACGACGTAAGGCCAGCCAGATGAACACGTACATGACAATGATGAGCACAAAGGGGATGATGAAGAAGACGATGGTCGAGAAGCCCATGGCGTAGATCCACACCTCATTCCCTTCCACGAATGACAGACCACACCACGAGGCTTCCTCTACCAGCTGTCCATCGGGCAGCGTGACGTAGTTCACTTTGGCATAGTAAGCAAAAGGCAGGGCGCACACTATAGACACCAGCCACACAATGGCGATATTCCGAATGGCGCTGGAGAGCTTCGCTTTGGTCTGCTGCCGGATAGGGTGGCAGATGGCGATGTACCTGGAACAAAGTCGTCATTACATTAAATAGTAGGTTCCTAATCGTCATTCTACACACAGAAGTTGTCCCGTATGCCTCAACCTATTACAATTCTATAATGAACTTGAAATTAGTTTCAGTATGACAGTGAAACAGTTAGTCACCTGCACAATGGGCTATTGGCAACGGTCTGGGAAACATCCCTGAGGATTTTCCGAAGACATGCCTTCGCAATTTTGATCCTCTGCAAAGAGGAGGGCTCCTCTGCTTGGGTAGCCAGACGACCTGCGCGCGAAGTCAAGCACTTTATGGTAGATCAGTTTAACGATGACCGATACCGCGCTTGGTCCTTACGTAGGCTGATCAAAATGGTCACCCACCCGCTTACTGACAGCAGCCAGTGATGCTTGACTTTGGTGATCTACTGGGAGCCGTGTCTTTACGATCAGTCCACTGCGGGACTTCCATTGCAAGAAGGGGATTGGATTTGAAGAAGATTTGAAAAGTGGATATCTGATACGATACTATTGTTCATAAAAAAAAAATCTCATGAACATGTAATACTTAATAATTTCAGTTTGTTTTCTAAATGAAAAGAGAGTAAATAAATTTCCGTGTGATCAAACAAAATTTGCCGACAAATGAAAATCTTTGCAGGGATATTGGGATGGGTCGCAGAGACCCCTAACAGCTGCTGTGACAGACATTGATGAAAACGAGGGCGTCAATAAAAAAAATCTCATGAGGGCGTGATACTTTCATTTTGTTTTCTAAATTAATAAAGAAAATTAATTTTCGTATGATCAAACAAAATTTGCCAACAAATGAAAATCTTTGCAGGGGTGCCGGTGTGGGTCGAAGAGACCCCTTTCTGCTGCTGTGACGGACATTGATGGAAACGGGCTATTTATTTTAAGTGTGAACGGAACTGACTTAGGACCGTGCTACTGGGTGGAACGTCTTTAGTACTTGCATTTATGTCTGCTAGTAAATGAAGAGTAGGCTAAACATTGTATTAGTAATTAATAGATGTGAAATTTAAAAAAGTAATGCAGAATCATTACCTCTCAGTGCTGAAGACGACGATAGTGAGAATGGAAGCGTAAGCTGTTGTTTCAGGAATGAGGCTTCTCATCCAACATCCGATCAGTCCCAGGTGCCATGGATACTGCTCCCACAGGGTGTATAGCTCCATGGGCATAGCTGCAAATCGATTCAAACAGGTCAGTTTTTTTTCATTACAAAACTTATAGATCAGATAAAAATCGGAAATGTTTGTAAAAATTGTCTCTAATTTCTTAAGCAATTAAATTGATTTGTATATTTTCAGCCCCGCCTTCCTTAGTAGTGACTTCCCAATTTAAAATATTTGATGGTTTTCCATTGATGGACCAACGTAATCTTGATGGTAACCAACGTGAGTAACTATCATCTCAATGCAGGAATTCTAACTGATGGTTTAACATAAGAATAGTAACTTGTTTTGATAGTTTGTTGATGTTGAATCATCACGAATTTCCATCATAGTAGGTATCTTAGAAATCAAATGTTGGAACGATCATCCCAATGTAGGACTGATTTATGATAGTCAAAAAATGTTTTGATGGTACGTTGCTGAGAATCAACAAGAATTCATGGAAATGTATAGTTGAAACCATCACGGATCATCATGAATTGTTGGTTCATGAGAGGTTAACCGTCATAGTATTAAGGTTTTATTTTCCATCATGGAATGATGGATATTTGTCGCCATATTTAAAACTTGTAACACGTAATGGGAAATGTTGGATGATGGTGACCATTAAATGATGTTGGACTATCAGGAATTACACTGAAACCAATATAAACCATCAAAATTTTTTGATGTGACCCTCAAGAATTTTAACTTGGGTTGATATTCTAGTCCCAGTAGTGACTAACTTTAAAAACCTCAATTTTTTTTTATAATAACACATTGACTTATTATTCTTGAATCTAACTTTATATAGTAGGGAACCGATTATCCGGAACAGTCGGGACCATCGCTATTCCGGATAGCTGATTTTTCCGGTTTTCTGAATCCCTACAAAAAGTCGTTTTTTTATTGTTAAACCCAACTAAAAGAAATAAATATTTGGAAATAATCTTAAAAATAAGAAAAAACGATGAAGTAATACACTAATGAATATTTCCGAAATGATGGTATGGTAAGCATCTTTAAAAAAAGAAAGAAAAATCGTAAAATCTTATGAGGAAAAAAAATTTTTTTTTTAAAAAATGGCGAGAAAATTTATCAAAATTCGTTTCGGTTTTTTGGTTTTCCGGTTTTCTGATTTCCGGATAACGGGTTCTGTACTGTATTATAAATCATTTCGACTGCTTAAATTCCTTGACAGCTTTCAAATCGCAAACAAACAAGTCATTATCCTTGTGCTGTCACCGCCACACAAATTCGTTTAAATACGCTAAAGAAAATTAACTCGCGAAGTTAAGGATTACTCAGTAAATATGATAAAACTTGCGGTTATCGGAGCAGAAGCTCCCATCTGACGATAATATTTGGTTCAACGAAAATGGCTGACGGAATAATCCGGAAGTACGAAAATGATCGACGGGATAATCCCAAAGTATTATCCCGTTAACTTTAGATTATTCAAATACTTTAGGAGCAAAATTGAGGAATTCTTTTTATTCTAATCTTTAATTCTCGCTGAATGAACAAATTCATACCAATATCTTGAAAATTATCGAAACAATATGACCGCATTCTCTAATTTAGAATAAAAAATACTTTTGAACATAGTTAGCAAAGTATATGTATTTTTGTCAATGAACTCTTGCCAACTAATGAATCAGATTTCAGATTCTTATCAGATTTCGACAGTATTTTTTTTTTCTCGTTTGAAAATAAATTTACGGTTCTTAAAGTGTTTCGTAAATTTCGTTGTTGACAAGGTTCCTAAAACTATATATTAAGGGTACCTAATACGAAGCACTCTTCACAACATAAAGACAAATAACAATAGATTAATTCCACAACATGATAAAAATAAACCAACCCAACTTAAATCATAAAAAAATCTTTTCTTCCGATAAGCTTTTTTTTTTTACGAGAAAGAAATTTATTCTAAGCGCTTTTATTTATTTACTTTTTTCCTTAGGGCGTAAAAGCAGGAAGCGCATTTGCAATCAATAAAGTACTATTTTTGCTGACAGCTCCACACGGAACCCATTTTAAAAAAGAATTTTGCAGAAGTTTTTGAATTGAACTATTTTGACAAATGATTAATCATTACTCTCAAACCAAACAATATTAGATAGATATAAAATATCTTGTCACATACGAAAAGAATTTTTTCAAGACAGTACGTAAATGGTTTTTATATGATGCATTGTTTAAAATAACAGCTCAGTCATAGTTATTATATGATAAATTGTTTAAAATAACAGCTTTTAGTCTTACATCATTTTATGGATTTATTGTTTAAAGTAATATAGTTATGACTTATGTAGTTTTAAAATATTGAATTAAAAATGCATAATTCTAATATTAATATTGAAATTATGTATTTTTATAATATATTAAATACGCCGGTGTAAGAAATTAATGGAATTTGCAGACCTGGTCGATTATCTCTAGAACTACTGGACCGAATTTAATGTACAAACATTGATACAATACAAAACAAATAGCCATTCAACAATTGTAATGCATGATCGTCGAAAAACTGAAATATCGAATTATGGCAAAAAGTGAGCACTTAACCTATATTTTTTAAATCTTTACAAAAATGAATTACAAAAGTTTGTAAATGAATAAACAAATGGTCCAGCCTTCAAAAAAAAAAGGAACGCTATGAAAATCTAACAAATGATTCGTGTGGAAGATGAAATTGAAAACACCAAAATTTGTTTGATTGCCATAGAAGTCGAAAGAGATTATTAGAAACACTTCCAAGTTCCAACAGGTTCAAGTTATTCATTCTCACCGATTTTAGATTAAGTTTATGTTCTTAAGTTTATAAGAAATCTAGATTATGTTTTTAGTTGATTTTAATTCCGCTTAAATATCAAATTGAAATTTTTTAGCAAGGATTCTAAAAAACAAACATTGAGAGTGGCCATTATTGTGTAAAAAAAGTTAATTGTAAGAATGGGTAAATTTTAGAAAAACTTATTACTATGTATGTGCACATGTGTTCTGTATGGATTGATTTTGTTCATTGCACTTCAAATGTGCATGAAAAAGCTACGCTAAAGTTCTTATCTTTACGTCAAAAGAATTAACCTAAAACTGATTATCTTTAGCATTCTTAAGAAATTCGATTCATCCTTTGCCTCTGTTTGAACCACGTTCTTTCCACACCTGTCATATCAGCTCATCCCCTGAAATATTGTTTCATTCACATGAATGCCGATTTTCTTGACATGAGTTCCTCACCGCCTCTCCATAGCGCGTGGAAGTGTAACCTGCTCTAATTTGCCTCTCTCAGCCTGTACGGTTTTCCTAATTTTTTTTCTTCATATTTTTTTTTATTTGCTACTTAGCTCTCAGTTACTCCCATTTTTAAAACTGTTACTTATTTTCCATTTTTTGCCGACAACTTTACGTTTTCTAATTTTGTTGTCTGGCGAGTCTTGAGAATGGGCGCCTATTTTCGAACTCTCAAAACGAGTCGACATTTTGCACTTCATGTTTTCTGAAGCCATTGAAGTTTTTATTATATCAAGTATGTATGTCAGTTTCACTTTAAAATTAAGTCATTAGAATTCCGCAAATAAAAATTGTTAATACTTTATTTAGCAATACACCAATGAAGAAAATATATAATGTATAAATAGTCAAAATTTTTATTAGCTTCGGCAATATGAGTCTATAATTTCTTCTCAAATTAGGTACTTAAAAAATAATTAAATGTAATGCTTTCTCCAACGAAGGAAAAAAAATTGCGTTAAGGAAAAAAAAAAATACATCGTTTTTTCTAGCTCCATAAATGCTGTCATGCAGAGAAGTGCACTTAATTTAATGAACAAAAATTTTATCAAATACTAAGGGCCCCCTGCCCGCTAACGCTCTCCAACCCCGATGCAATAATTGTTGTTTCTTGGCATAAAATAGTTGGCTAAAAATATAAGAACTAAATAGAACACTTGTGCAGCCACTTCTCACGTCCAATATAAATCTTTTTTCTAAGTAATCATTTTTTTTAAAATAACATTTAAAATTAAAAGTATTTTGTTTTACCAAATTTGGTATAGTAAGATTTTTGCTTACCAAACCGACGGATATATTTTAAATACAACTTTTGCATTCACCACTTTGTGGGGAAGATTATGTTCTAAATCATTTAAGGAATCTGCTTAACCGTAATTCTTAATAGTATATTGTAATTTGCACTAAAAAGTAATAACTGCAAAAAGGTTAATAAGTTCAGAAACTGATTTAAATAACTTTATCTTAAAATGTATCGTAGAATTACGTTATAGTAGTAATGAAAAAAAAAAACAATTCTCTTAAACTCTTAATTTAGAAAGCAAACAAAATCAAAAACGTATGCAAAAATATTTATAGGAAAACAATACCTTGATGACTTATATCAATTTTGTGCTGATGACAACCAAACTAATTTGAAAATTAATCTGAGAAAACTGGATCCTGCCATGTGATTTTCCGGCCATTAAAAATGCACCGATAAAAATGGAAAAATGCGACACTATTAGGTTTTTATATATAGTTAGATACATTGTGCATTGTACTGAAATTAAAATTTATAATGGGGTTGATACAATTTAACTATAAATTTTATTTTTTAATTAGATTTTTGCTTCATTTTCTCCGATAACTCTAAGTTGAAAATGGCAATATAGTAAACAAGTCATGCTGTTGCCACACGGGGATTTTATAATAGCACGCGAAACGCGAATTTCCCTGCAAAATATTTACTAAACACTACAGAGACTGGCACCGACACATCATTAACTTAGGTGTTGACGACTCATTTGACGTTTATTACTTCGTCATTTTACTCGCCTATGCATAATAACTGGGGTCGTATAAAAAGTAAATAAAGAAATCATTTTTAAACATTTCTCATATAGTTTGTGCTTTTCATTTCATCATTTCTCCCCTTTTTAAGTTAAACAAAATCTTATCGAAATTTGCAATTGTTTTGAAGCTGCGACCAAGAACATAATCTTCAAATGCATTATAAAAATTTGAAAAT